GTGGGGAGGAGAGGGGTCAATGGGGGAAAAAATGAGGAACATCTGTATTACATTTATTAATAAAGATTTAAAAACTAAAAAAAAAGTTATTAAATCCTTTTAAATAGCTTGTCAGGTTTCAGCTGGGACAAAAAATAAATTTTTCTGATGGTTATTAAACAATCCCATGGACCCAAGAGGGCACACTTCCATATTACTACTTTTTAGAGACTTCCCTTTGCTAAGAGATTGAACTGACAGCCTTCAGGTCCCTGTTCCCCAGTAAGACACAATGTCTATTTCCACAACACAATCAGGTAAAAAGAGACGCAAAGTTGACATAAGATTGTATTTGTTTTTTGAAGGTCACGTACATGTGCAGACTTAACATTTAAAAAAATAAAATCTAACCATTCCCATTTTCATAATCTTATCAATTCTTACATTTCTATATTCTTTTCATCTAATTGTGGCATGATTCAGGGCTTCACTGATGGGTTGCCTTACCACGGTTCACGAATGCCCATATTAAGGAGTCCTGGGAATTTCTCTTTTCTGTCGAAAGGACAGAAAATTTGTGACCCAACATTTCGCAGTTTGCACTCTGAGGCTGCTTGCCATGACTCTGCTCCCTGGACTTGGAAACTGACTGAGAGGCAGGCGCCACGCAGAGGGACAAGGCAAAGCAGGGCAACCTTCAGGTCTGGTCTAGGTCCACGAGGTCCATCGCGCCGACCGCCGGTAGGGCAGGGGAGTGCAGGGGAGACCCTCTGCCTGGAGACCCGCGCACCTTCCAGAAGCGTCCCAGACCTGCCCAGTGCACTACATGGGGATGCTTGGAGATGGAAAGAAATTTGATTCTTCCGGGGACAGAAACAAGTCTTTGACGTTTATACTAGGCAAATAGTATGTGATCGAGGCTGGGCAGACGGGGTTGCCCAGATGAGTGTGGATCTGGGAGCCAAACTGACCATCTTCCCAGGTTATGGCTACGGAGCCACTGGGCACAGGCGCCCGAGGCATCACCCCACCAAATGCCAATCACGTCTTTGATTTGGAGCTTCTAAAACTGGAAGGACAGGTCCGAGGACATTCCATTTTTGGTTCAGATAGAGTAGAAAGGGACACATCGAGTGGCTGCCACCCGCAAGACCCAACCAGGACCGGCGACAAACTGCAACCAAGGTACGTGCCCTTAGCGGGAACAAAACCCGGGTCTACCCGGTACCGTAGGTCGATGCTCAAACCGCTGAGCCAAACTGGCCAGAGCAGGAGTGGCCTACTCCTTGAGCTCCCTGTGCTTGATGGTACTGTGGAGGGATCTGGCCTTGACCCGCACAGGAGAATTCGTGAGGAGCTGATGCTCCACCACACTTTGTATACACGTCTGCCGGGACTGAATGTGTTCAGTCACCCAGCTTTGTTCTTCCCCTTTCTCTTCGTTTGTGTGGACCTAAACTACATGCCATAAGCCTCAAGTTACTCTTTTATTTTGTTTTTGTTTGGGGGTAAAGATTCAGTTTCAGTGTTTTGTATCTAGGTTTCCAATTAAGTAATAGTCAAGTATTAATAGCACCAGTGATGGGTTAACTTTAGACTAGGAACTGGTGTGGGGGGGATGCAAGAATATTTTATTTTATTTTTTGGATGAACTTTTTATCTGTTATATATCAAACATTCTTGCTGCTGCTCTGCAAAGCCATAGCAGATTTGAGGCACTGTTGAGGGCTGAATTATCTCCAAGTTGAGATGTCTTTTGGTTAAATTAGAGTCCTGCTCAAAACTGAATTGGGGAGGGGAGAGCCTTTGCCTGTGCTGTCTCATTCCTCCACTCTTCCCTTAAACCCTCTGACTTTTAAAACCAAAAGGTTTTCCCTATCATGTTGGACACTACAGGTATCTGCCCCCTGGCCAGCAGGGGCCTTCTTTGTGGCCTGGCTTCCCCCCCTGCCATTCTGTTTTTTTTCTAATAGATATTCAGGACTTTTATAATGTCATAGCTATCCAGGCTTCACTTCCTAAATTTTAAAAACTTTAATAATGTGGGCATTTTGTGTCCTTAAAGAGCTTCCGATTCCCTATCATAGTGGCTTGGGGTGTGTTGTCCAGCTTGCTGTGTATTATAATGATCCTATAATGAGGTTGGGGTTACCATTGGGTAAAATTAATCACCACGTTGGATCAAGCTGGTCTCTGCCCACTTTAAGCCATAAACCCTGTGTGTGTGTGTGTGGAGAGGGTGGGGGGAGTCTTCCTTCTTCTTGACAGCGCCTGTAGCTTTTATCAATTGCAGCTGATTCACCACATCCCTCCCCCAGGGGGACCACTGGGGTGTCAATTTGGCCCATTCAGCCTTTGGTAGTGCTGTACCAAAACCTTTGTTTTAACTCCATCAATGTTCCTTTTATTTAGCCCCATACTTTTTTCTTTCTAATTGGAACATTTCTCATACTAGTTATTGTAATTTTAGGTTATAATTTTCTTGAGGGCTGACAGCACACTAGTAGTAAATGGGGTTTTAGCCCACATCTCTGTCTGGCCATATTTTGGAGCTTCCCAATTGAAAGTTATCAAATCAAGTTCTTAGGATATAAAATTGTAGGTTGTCTTTTAATAAGACTGTTGCCATTCTTTTTTTTTTTTTTTTCACTTTTCTTCTTCGGTACAGGACAAGATTATGTCTAATGTTCTGATCTCTCTTTTTATTTATTTATTTATTTATTTATTTATTTATTTATTTATTTTGGGTACGTGCCCCTAGCAGGAACTGAACCCGGGACTCTCTGGTCCACAGGCCAACGCTCCAACCACTGAGCCAAACCGGCCAGGGCCCCTCTCTCTTTTTGATGGAGATGCTGGGGAACGAATAATTTTTTTTTTTTTAATCCTCACCAGAGGATATTTTTCCATTGATTTTCTAGACAGCGTAGAAAGGAAGGAGGGAGCCCTGGCTGGTTTGGCTCAGCGGTTAGAGCGTCAGCTCATGGACCAGAGAGTCCTGTGTTGGTTCCCACTAAGGGCTTGAACCTCAGTTGCAGTTTGTCCTTAGCCCCAGTTGGGGTCGTGTGGGTGGCAACCACTCACATCGATCTTTCTCTCTCTCTCTTCCTACCTCTCTCCTTCTCGCTCTATCTGAAGATGAATGCAAAAATGTCCTCAGATGAGGATTAAAAAGAAAAAACTTTTCAATTTAGACATTTTTCCAATTAAAAGGTCCACTGTCTGCCCTTGATAAGTAGGATCTTAAAAATGACTTAAACCAATACTGTGAATTCAAGAGACATCCCCTGAGGGTGGGTGGTGGAGCAGGATGGGGAGGAGAATGTCTAGGGGAGGAAAAGGAGAAACATCTGTAACAAAAATAAATTAATAAAAATTGGGGAAAAAAAGAGACATCCCCAAAGGAGAGAACAAAATGATTCAACCTCGCAAGATAAACTCTACTCCTAGAGTTAGTTTAAGAGAGATGGGGGGACCCTGTCTTTAAACAGCTGTTCCAAAACACAAGGAATCACTTGTTTTCCTCCCTTTTGTTACCAGAAAAGGACCTGGCCCAGAGCGGGTCGGCTTCAGGCCAGCCTGTAGTGTGTCAGTTCTTGACTTTGTGCAGGAAAGATTTCACAAGACAAGTCCAGGTGATTTTGAGAGTATGTTTATTAAAGCCGGGGACAGTGAAACAAGGAAGGACCTAAGATATAAGAACGAACAGGAGAGAGACTAGGCAGGGGAAGAAGTGAGCCAAGGAGGGGCTGCTGTCAGCTCACTGGAAAGAAAGTCAGAGAAAAGGGATAGGTTCAGGGGGTTAGCTCAGGACAAGCTGCTGCTGCCCATTGCCCCCCTGATTGCAAGTCTCATGGAGTCCCTTAGAGTTTAGGAGATGCATGCCTGTGTGCCCCTGGGGGTAGAAAGGGGGTAAGAGAAAGGCTAGGGCATGTTCCTGGGAGGGAAAGCAAGCCCTGGAACCTTCCCCTCGAGCGTTTTTTTTTTTTTTTCCGGTGGTATGTGCCCCTAGCGGGAACTGAACCCGGGACTCTCTGGTCCGCAGGCCGACACTCAACTGCTGACCCAAACTGGCCAGGGCATCCCCTCGAGTGTTTTAAAGACTGAGAATTTAGGGATGGTTTTAGGAAAAAATCTCAATAGACTATTCATCAGTTTTTCCAGGTGTGTCCTTTCGGGGTCGTGGTTTCCACTGATTGGTCAGGGCAGGGGGTGGTCATTAGTCATCGCAGCTGGTCCTGGTATATCTGGCCTGGTTTTGCTGTTTTTGTGAGCCTGGAGCTGAAATACAAGTGAGGCCTAGATGTTGTCTCTAGGGAGGAAAGGTAGTGGAGGGAAGGTCTTCTAAACCGCAGGACCAGCGATATGCCAGGGGAGGAAAGGCCACCCTGGGGTTGAGGTCTGACAACAGTTTTGGTCATTGCTCAGCACCTGGTGACCGGTGTCCTGCTGTCAATTGCTTGGCCAGTTTGTTCAGCTATCTTTCTGAGTTTCCCACTCTACTTGCCAAGGGATTTTTCTAGCTTCCTACTACTCTGCTTCACTTTGAACAGAATAAGGTCTAAGATTGTCTAAGCTTGGGCCCACAGGTGATTTGCAGCCCATCGTTTGCATAAGCATCCTCCAGCTGGAGGGGATAATAGGCCAGGTCTGGGAGAAACTCCCTAGAAAGTTTGTCTTGGCCAAATATAGAGCAAGGTGCACCTTGGCGACTGTACCCGATGGCTGGTAGAGGGTGGAGAGAAAATGTTCTAACTGGTCTTAAGTGTCAATTAAAAAAAAAAAAAGGTTCTAAGGAAAGTAATCTCACAGGACAATCTGATCGTGAATTCCTAACTGGGCAGGTTATGGTAGGTAGTCATGCCCCAGGCATATAATGTTTATCTTTGCCTTAGGCAAGCCTCATCCATTGTTTCTGTGCATCTAGGTTAACATACCTGTGCTAATGCCTGAACCACCTTTCACACCCCTCCTTGGAGAGCAAATAATCTTTTTAAAACAAAAACCAAAACCCATTAAGCCCTTCTTGAAGGGGGTCAGGCATGCAGCGCAGTCCCCATGATATACAGAGGCAGAGGGCTCCTGCCCCTCAGTGTCCTGTCTTTGGTGTTGATGGTTTCCAGTCCACCGGTTCTTCCTCAAACGCTGGGACATTGGGAAAAAAACAAAAACAAACAAATAAACAAATAAAATATTAAAAAATAATTCAAGAAGAACTTGAAATATTTATTGATTTTAGAGAGAGAGAAAGGGAGAGAGAAAAAGAATCGACAATTTGTTGTTCCACTTATTTATGCATTCGTTGGTTGCCTCTTGCATGTGCCCTGACCTGAGATCAAACTCACAACCTTGGTGTACTGGGATGGAGCTCTAACCAACTGAGTTACCCTGTCAGGGCCTACTAGCAAATAAATTTAAGTACCCTTAATCCAATTATGCCTTTCTTTCTGACACCTTCATGTAATTTTCTTTACTTCTCCTTCATTTCAAATGCGTAAGAGAAACTGCAAAACTGTTATTCTCAGGAGCATAGATCTTGCTCGGTCCACTGCATATTTGTCAGTTTGGCTCAAACTTAAAACATTCAGATTTTTTTCTTTTTCTTTTTAATTTTTATTTTATTTATTAATTTTTAAAAATTATTTATTTATTTTTTTAATCCTCACCCAAAGATGTTTTTCCATTGATTTTTTATTTTTCTATATAGAATGGAAGGGAGGGAGGAAGAGAGAGAGAGAAATATCAATGTTAGAGAAACACATTGATTGGTTGCCTCCTGTACGACCTCGACCACGATCCCAATGGTGGCTGGGGATCAAACCTGCAACCCAGGTACGTGCCCTTGACCAGGAATCAAACCTCAGGGCCTTCATTCCTCAGGCCGACACCCAAACTGCTGAACCAAACGGCCAGGGCATTGGTTGTTTTCTTAAATACCAGGGGATAGTGTGAACACAGTCCCCCCAAACCACAAATTATGCAGTTGAGTTTCCTGCATTTGGGGAAATTGCAGGGGTCAACATACCTGGAGTGAAATGGGTGAGCCTTGCTCTGGGAAAACCAACTTCATGATCATGGTATCTCCCCTGCCAGGTTAAGTATAAAAAAATCTGTTTTGAGCTAAGGCAATCTTAGCGTCAGGCCCAAGAGAAACTTCACCTCTCCCTTCAATTACCAAGAAGAACTTGAATTAGGGGCCTTGTCCATAATGAGACACAATTAGCTATAATCTCTTTTTGACCCACCTATATAGCAGGGTAAACTTGTTTTTGCTAAACATCTACTCTTCCTGCAATAACTCTTTGAAGGTACTCATCCCTAGCTTAGAATGCTTCATATACCCATGTTCCCTTTCTATCTTTGAACTTCAGTGCATCTGGGGTCTCTCCCTCATGTATATGACATTCCCATACACACGTGTATTAAATTGGCTTATTTTTTCTTGTGAATCTGTCTCGTGTGTTTAATTTTTAGATCAGCCAAAAAAAACCAAAAAAAAAAAAAAACAAACATGGAGGTAGAGGACAGTTTTTTCCTCTTTCACAATACTATTATTAATATTTTAAAAAGTGTAATCAATTTTTAAATCTAGGGCTCCTGGCCAAACCTTTCTTGCTTTAAACAACTGAACTGATATGATTTTGTTTGTACATGCAAACCAGAAACTATCTACATGCAAATACTAATTTCTGAGACTAGACGACATGTTTATACACTCATAAAGCCTGATAACCAACCCTTTTCTTTTCTTTTTTCTTTCTCCTGAAGTGCAAGTTTACTGGGAATTAGCCTGCCCGACTACCTCTAAGGAGAGAGTAGCCCAACACTTTTCTTGAATCTGTAAATCCCTTTCTAGCTTTTCCAAACAATCAGTGTCTTGCAATGAAATTTTATTACAGAAGCGTGGAAAATGCATTTAAACTATTCCCAGTAATATTTTCATTCAAAAAGTTTTGTCTCCACTGCGCCTCTCCCCCACCCTACCCTGCCCATAGGTTTAGCTCCTCATTTTATTAGCCCTAAAGCGCAGGGACCTAATTTCTCAAAAGCTCACTCAATGGCTGGTTTGGCTCAGCGGTTAGAGCCTCGGCCTGTGGTCCAGAGAGACCCAGGTTCGGTTCCGCTAAAGGCGTGTATCTTCGTTGCAGTTTGTCCCCGGCCCTGTTTGGTTGTGTGGGTGGAAGCAACTTGATGTGTCCCTTTCTCGTCCGTGTCTCCCGCTCTCCCTCTCCCTCTCCCTCCTCCTTCTCCTCCCCCTCTACCTGAACAAAAAAAAAAAGAAAGAAAAAATGTCCTCAGGTGAGGAATAAAAAAACCCACAAAAAACCCACCACTTGCTCTAGATGGACAGCCGGTGAATGGACAACCGGTGAAACTGAAAAAAACCTTGTCTCAGCGTCCCCTGGTGCTTAGGCCCCCTGGTGCTTAGGCGCGCGGGGCGCGGTGATCAACTCCATCTAAGCTGGACCAGGTATTATTGATCAGCTAGGGTGGCGTCCTGTGATTACCAGGGCTCTTCTCCAAATGTCCATTTTGTGCGAGCCCTGGACACAGAGTTTGCGGTTTGTCCATGGGTGCTCTTGGACAGTCGTGTCCGTGCTCCGGATCCACGGGCAGGTGGTGCCGGGCCCAGTGGGGAACTTGGCACCTGCGCGACCCCGGGGCGCGGGCTGTGCCGGGGCGCTTATCCCAGCCAGGCAGGCGGCGCCACCCCTCCGACCCTCCGGAGTGCGCGGACCCCAGAGAGCCCGGGGCAGGAGGAAGGGGCCTCCACCTTGAGACCTACCTGCCATTAGTCCTAGGCCTGCGAGGTGAAGACCGCCTCGAGCCCGCCTGAGCTATTCTCTCCTCCCAGGCTCTACACCCATCGCTCCCGACCGTGACCGCCACCCCGGGCCGGCGCGCTCGCAAGTGTAAACCTCGCGCGTTAGTGCTGGGCCCACGGGGAGCGCGCGGGCGCCGTGGGAGGGCTGTCCGCGAGGCTGTGGGCGTTGGTCCTGGAAGGACCTCCTGCCGGACTTTTCCGTGCGGGGGCTGTGTCCTGAGTCCGTTATAGATCGAGTCCCGAGCGCGCAGGAGGGTAGAGGGAGCCCAGGACTGTCCACCAGAGACTGGGGACACGCAGGAAGGCGGCAGCCAGGACAGGAGCCAGGGAGATTTTGGAAAAGCTTCACGTTTGGAAAGCACAGTACAGATGCTTGACGTCCTTGTGAAGTAGGACCTGCTTCCTTAGAGTCTGTCGGGAAGGTCGGGCGGACTCCTCTCCGCGTTGATGTAAATGATTATTAGTGCTCTGCCTCTGAGCACATGGATCCTGAGGTCCCAGCCCTGCAACTGCTGAGTAAGTGGTGACAGCCCTTTGGGATGCCTGTGGCTTGAAGGGTTGGTGGGTGTTGGGAGTACATTTGGTAGAAAATGGAAAGCTGTTCAATTAAGATGACTAGGTTTTAATTAGCCCCAGATTAATTTGAAAGTGAGTATGAAATGCAAACTGAGAATTTGAACCATGTGTTGGTACAGCTGATTCTGAGTGTGGTAGTGTGTGATAAGGACCGGTTTGTAAAACCATTGCCCTTCTCCAAAAGTGGGAAACTAGAGTCGATATTGGATAGATAAAAACTTATTGAGCATGGAAGTTACTACACAGTGGGAGAAACATTTGTTAATATTGATACTTTTTCTTTTCTACAAGACATAGCGTTTGTCTACAACTTTGGATGGTTTGCTAGAGTAACTGAGCTCCCTTGTGTAATATTTCTGTGGGTAGTTTAAAGGTTACTGGAGAAGGTAGAATAAAAAAAAAAAAAAAAAAGGAAGAGCAAAAAAGATAGATTGTAAATCTAGCTTACAGTTAAAACAAAAACAAAAACCAACCAACAAACAAAAGAACAGCCCTGGTCAGGTGACTCAGTAGGTTAGAGTGTTGTCCTAGTCACCAAAATGGTTGTGGTTGGATTCCCAGTCAGGACACATACCTAGATTGTGGGTTAGATCCCTGGTGGGGTCTCTCTCTCTCTCTCTCTCTCTCTCTCTCTCTCGCTCTCCCTTCCTCTCTCTCTTTCTAGAAAATCAATTTAAAGATATTGCTCAGATGAGGATATTAAAAAACCATACCTGAAATGTTGCCTAGTTTTATTTTCTTGGCTAATAATAGTGTTCATATAAAAATCATCCCATTTTCAGAAAATAAAGTAGATTCATAGTAACAAATGTTTATTGGTCATCTTTGTTCTGGACCCTGAACATTCAGCAAGAGCTCCCTTAGGCAACACATTATTTGCATCAAGATGGTATTAAAATACATTTATGCGCCCTGGCCAGTTTGGCTCAGTGGTTAGAGTGTGGGCCCAAGGACCAATGAGTCATGAGTTGTGGGTTCAATTCCTGTCAAGGGCATGTATCTTCGTTGCAGGAGGCAACCAGTCAATGTGTGTCTTTCACATCAATGTCTCTCTCTCTCTCTCTCTCTCAGATATAGGATGTATAGGTATACAGGAAACAAAAGTGTATCTTTAAATCAGTTCCCAGTTTATTCCAGGATGTGATTCAATAATTGACAAAGTGTCTGGATGACTTGACCCTCAGAGTTGTTTTTTACTAACAACAGTTTTATGAGATATTATTCACAGATGATACAAATTACCTATTTAAAGTACACAATTTGTGCAACCATTACATTTTTGTCATTCTCTTTAAAAACCCATTAGTCACTCCCCCTTTTCATGATAATTTCCCCCATCCCATAGTTTTTTAAGTTGGGTATTCTACCTCATTGGGAGACTGTTAGAAATTGGGTGTCTAATTTTAGAACCACATAGTTAGCTTATTTATAGGGATAAATAAATATTCAGAGCATTATAACATTGAAATTTAATAGTGTACTGGTTGTTTAAACCAGGGGGTAGATGGGTGTGGGTAAAGCAAAATTGATGCTCCCATCTTAATTTCTATGAAGATGTTCTGTTTTGGGCAAAAAGGTAGAGTACATCTTAGCCAGATCAGAAACAGAGTTTCTTGTGCTTTTCTGATATGGGAGTGGAAGAAACTTGACCCTCAAGTTTCTTGCAGCTGGTCTAATAATTCAATGGACATGAGACAGACTAGAGAAAATCACCAAATGTAATACATACATGTAGATGGGAACCTCTCATACACGAGAGAGTCAGAGACCCCATATGCACAGGAAGTTCAGAAATAGAGAGGAGGATCTTGGTACATAAGACATTCTGATCTAGGGGTGAGGTAAGGTGCCTTGGGGGCCTCAAAGGGTCATTGCAGAAGGATAAGAGCAGATGTTTAGTAAATAGAAGTTTGTCCTGCCATATAAGTGGGTCAAGGAGGTTACAGTAGATAATCCCTTATTCTGGGCAAGGCCCCTAATTTAGGTTCTTGTAGTTACTCAATGGAGGATCAGAAGTTTCTCTCAGTTTCAGGCCAAAGTTTCCTTTAGCTCAAAACAATCCAGGTGTGACAGAGCCACATCTTGGGGTGACTTATTCTGAAATCCCACACTGATCACTAGCCCAGTCCCTTTGGGCTAGTTTTTAGGCCCAGATAGTAATAGATAGGTTTCCTTTCACTGGCATTAACTTGTTATCTGGAAGGGTAAAAATGGAAGTCTCTAGAAAGCCACAAGCCATATGATTTCCCTCTGAAGCCACTTGAGGTAAGTGTCTTACGGGGAAAGAAGAAAGTGTGCCTGAGAGGCACCCAAACTTGGACACTTCACAGAGGCATGCCTCTCTGCTTCCTGTCCTGCACAGCCCAACGCTGGCCTGACCCTGACCCCAGGATGCAGGAGGGAAGAAACAGGAGAGTTAGAGGGACAACAGGATACTTAGAAAGGATCTTAGCCATTTCATATTAGTTTGGAATGCCTTAAGACAAGGTCAGTAGGTCCTCAGAAGAATAAAAGAAAGTGGCCATTAATAAGGGGGGCAAAATAAATAAATAAATAAATAAATAAATAAATAAAGAGGGCAAAGGGGTCAGTTGAGTGCTTACTGCATGCAGGTGTCTTTTATAGCCATTGCCATTTTATCCTCACGAAGTCTTCCAGGGAGGTGTTTTAGTCTCCTATTTATTGAAGAGGAGGCTGTGAG